ACAAACAGAAGAAAAAAAAAAATTTTCTCTTCCTCCGATCCGGTCGGCCTATCCTCTCCCTCACTTTTCTTCTTAAAAGCAACATCATCTATCAAAGAGATAGGACATCTACTACCTACGGATGCCAGAAAAAAAAAGCGAAAAAAAAAAGAAACATAAGAAAAAGGGGCCAAATCTTTTTTACCTCCATAAGCAAATGCAGCACATACATAACGACAGTGATGAGTATTTGACTAGAAGGTACCTATTCACAAGTAAGTAGTTAACCAACCTCAAAGGTAAGAGGACAGACAACAGCTTCAAAAGGTGAACCCCCCCCCCCCCCCCCCCCCCCCCCCCCCCCCCCCCCCCCCCCCCCCCCCCCCCCCCCCCCCCCCCCCCCCCCCCCCCCCCCCCCCCCCCCCCCCCCCCCCCCCCCCCCCCCCCCCCCCCCCCCCCCCCCCCCCCCCCCCCCCCCCCCCCCCCCCCCCCCCCCCCCCCCCCCCCCCCCCCCCCCCCCCCCCCCCCCCCCCCCCCCCCCCCCCCCCCCCCCCCCCCCCCCCCCCCCCCCCCCCCCCCCCCCCCCCCCCCCCCCCCCCCCCCCCCCCCCCCCCCCCCCCCCCCCCCCCCCCCCCCCCCCCCCCCCCCCCCCCCCCCCCCCCCCCCCCCCCCCCCCCCCCCCCCCCCCCCCCCCCCCCCCCCCCCCCCCCCCCCCCCCCCCCCCCCCCCCCCCCCCCCCCCCCCCCCCCCCCCCCCCCCCCCCCCCCCCCCCCCCCCCCCCCCCCCCCCCCTCCCCCCCCCCCCCCCCCCCCCCCCCCCCCCCCCCCCCCCCCCCCCCCCCCCCCCCCCCCCCCCCCCCCCCCCCCCCCCCCCCCCCCCCCCCCCCCCCCCCCCCCCCCCCCCCCCCCCCCCCCCCAACACCAAATAGCCCTCGCGAATCAACCTCGCGAACAAATCCAACACACCTCGTCTCTAGCCAAAGCTCGATCAGACCCAACCCATTTCCCCTATGTCTGATCTAGAGCCGGATACCCTCGTCGCCTTTCTGTGCCCGAGCGTACGAGACAAGACTGAAACTCTTTTCCATACAACGATCTTTGAGTACGGGACCTCCTAGGCGATATAGCGTCGAGGCTCTCTCGTAATTAATCTGTTGTAACAATTAATATCTGCGACCACGTTTGTTTTTACCACAGTGGCCTGCTGATATCTTGTTGGTTTTATGGTCTAGGTAGATCTCTGTAAATTTACTCATATTTGCAAATTTATATTGCTATTTCGTGCTTGATAAATATGTGTCTTAGATCCTAATTGCTACAATTTGAGAGCCTCCCATTACTAACCCTGAAAGGGCATCGGTCTAAGAATTCTTCTACCCGCAATAACCTAATCACAATGGCTCATGTTACAAACGACAAACTAATCGCACAGGATGGCTTCAACCTTTCATTCTTTAGGCATACCATTCACCTCCGAGCCAGCGGTTGAATAGGTTCAAAGAGCCCTCGGGCTGGTTGAACGGAACCATGTGGCCGGCCTGGTAAATGCGGGCAAACGTGAAGTTGCCGCTGCTCTTTACCTCACCGTACTTGTCGGTGGCGGTCTCGAGGTTCTCCATCTTGGCGGCGTTGAATCCCTTCTTGCCAGACCACTCTAGAGCCTCAGACCAAGCCTTGTTGCCAAGCCAGTTGCAGATGTAGTCGGCATCACCAGCATAGATCAGGACGGGGATCTGCTTGATGAGGTCGGGCACAAGACGGTGGAACGGCTTGGACCAGTCACCCTGGAACAAGAAGTTCCTGTTGATATCCGTGTTGCAGCTCTCGTAGTTGTGTACCTCAGCACCGACGGCCTTGATGACCTTCTCCTGGTTCAAGTACTGACTAATCCAAGCGGTCTCGGTGTAGCAGAGGTTTTCCTGGTCCTTGCACTTCTCGCGGATGTCGTATACGTTGTATCCGGTGCGCTGGAAGGGGCCAATCATAGCATTGTTGCAGTAGATGGCACTGGGGACACAAGACCAGACACTCTCCGAGTCGTAGCAGCCCGAGATAAGGGACTGGCAACGGGGAAGAGAGTTGTCCATAGATTGGCATTCGCTCTCGTCTAGCACTGCCTTGTAGCCACCCTCGCCACAGGCCATGGGGCGGTACTCAGCATATTGGGTGAAGGGGTCGGTCAAACCGTTGCCAATGGCAATGCTTTGCAGGTTGATGTTGCGGTTCTTATGAGACAAAATCTCGGACGCAAAGACGGGGATGTAGTGGCCGGCGTAAGATTCTCCAGCAATGTGGAACGGCTGCTCACTATATTCTGGGAAGTTGTGGAAGAACAGGGTCAAAAGAGCGTAGATGTCCTTGCTGGCGGCGACAGTGTTGTAGACGGGGTTGCTGCTGTAAGAGTAGCCGGTGTTGACGGGCTGGTCGATGAAAATGACGGAAGCATTGCTGTTCCACGAGTAATCATTGTACTTGAGGGTACCGTCCTTCTTGACGCTGGAAGGTCCCAGCTCCATGAAGAGTCCCATCATGGAAGAGCAACCGGGGCCGCCGTTGAGCCATAATACTACGGGGTCGGTCTTGGGGTTGTTTCGGGATTCGAAGAACCCTGGGTATGACAATTAGCAGATTATATGACGGAAATTAGGTATGCAGTATATATAAACTTACAGTAGAAGAGATGCTTGTCATCCGCCTCATCGTCAAGGTATCCACTAAATTGCTTGACCTTGTCTACACCGAGTTCGGACGGGTCGACCGACTTGGCTCGCAAGTTGTAGGCCTCAAGAGAGCCGCCAACCTTTCGGTGTTTGACACCGTCTGTCTCGACCCACATGTTTTGGATATCAGCGCCCTTGACCACATGGTCCCATTCGCTATCTGGTCGGCGTGAATGAGCCTTGGGATAGGAGATCATGTTGGAGGCCTTTTCGTAGAAACCAGGAACCAGAAGGCTCATTTCTTCCCAGAGACCCTTAGCAGCAGCAGGCATCTCTCCGAAAACACTGCTCAGGTGCTCCATGGGCTTCTTGAGGGCATCACCGGCACCACCCAGTACCTTTTGCTGGTCATGCGCAAGGGCAGCCGTAGAGGCGCCGAGCAGCAAGGCCGAGCTTGCTACTCTCATGATTGCAAAGACTATGGGTATTGACGATGACTGTGATGATGGTGATGATGATGGTGATAGTATTGATGGATTGGTTGGTTGGATGAAAGAAGGATTGGATAAGAAGTTGAAGAATGGATGGAATGTTGACGATGATACAAATAGAGAAGGAGAAGGTTGGGGGAGCTCTCCATAAGATATGGATGAGCGATGAAACGGGAAGGGAACAATACCCGACTGGCCACTGTCTAGCCAACCGTTAGCGTGCTTGGTGCCTTGAGGTGGTAGCCCCTTATCGCAAACCAGGGTAGCTTCCCATATGATGGATGTAGGGGGTAGCTCCACTATTGTTAGCAAGTGACCTGCTCGCCTTGCTTAATGCAGGACCCGATTACGCCAGCTGTGCCTTATGCGCTGCGTGTCGAGTGATAGATGGAGGGGGTCTTTTTATGATAAGCGTCATCGGTTCATAATTCCCCAGGCAAAGTCACACTTTAGTGTACTGATAGTACAGACTAAACTATAAGAAGCAAGTCATTTACTCAATTAGGTATCTGCTAAGTGCTGAAGTAGGTACATATGTAAGTATGCATATAGTGATATGCATGTAGTAACTAGTAGTTGATTCACGTCAATGCTACTAAGGTATCTTGTGATGTAAACTGTGCAATAGGAACTGAGTCAAAACTTCAAAAGAGGATAAGAATCAAAGGGATAAAATCCTTGGTCCCCCTGAGCTGTACCTGCGTCTCTCTCGTATGTGTACTAGCTAGCCCCAGAAATGCATTTGTCGGTAAGTAAAGTTGGGACTTCCAATGTCGGCATATTCCATCAATGATTGCACATGCTTTCACGCGCCCATTGCTGAGTCCCATGTTCCTTTTCTCCACGCCGAACCTTATTTTTATGTTTTGGGGAAACCACCCTTTTATGAATAATTGTGGAACCTACTAGTTATGTAGAACCTTACATAGTACTATACCCAATAGATACATAAACATAATTCTTAGTGTTAGTCAACTTTGCGACATCAGATTTTCGCATTCAGCGAAAACGAAATAACAACAACATCCCAAACTTTAAAAAAAAGTAGGATCAAAAAATGTCGAGACAAATAAATCAACCTGGTATGTTGGACAAGTGTTATACACCACACCAGACCCCTATGTCTTGCCGGATGCTAATATCTCGCAGTATGTAGACAGACAGAACCCCTCCATACCTACGTACTGTAGTATCCATCTGCCTCCCCGCAATCTTTGCGATAGCTTGCAAGAGAAGGAACTCATATATCTACCTATACATCTATGCATCTATCTATATGTATATATGTATATATATATATATATATATATTGCGCTGAAATATAGAATACCTATTAACCAACAAACTCCCAGTCCAACCAAATCCGGCTAACCAACGTCTCCCTCGTGCGGCTCAAAAAGGGCAAAAAGCGCTTCGAGATCGCCTGCTACAAGAACAAAGTCCTCGAATGGCGATCCGGCATCGAGACCGACCTCGACGAGGTCCTCCAGATCCCCAACGTCTTCCTCAACGTCTCCAAGGGCCAAACCGCCCCCTCCGCCGACCTCGCCAAGGCCTTCGGCAAGGACAAGCCGGTGCAGGAGATCATCCTCGAGATACTGAACAAGGGGGAGCTGCAGGTGGGGGAGAAGGAGCGCGCGGCGCAGCTGGACCGCGTGCACGCCGAGGTCATCAGCATCGTGGCGAGCAAGCTGGTGGACCCGCGCACGAAGCGCGTCTACACGACCGGCATGATCGACAAGGCGCTCGACATGCTGAGCTCGCAGGCGCATCAGCAGCAGCAGCAGCAAGGCAACGGCGACAACAATAAGAAGGGCGGCGCCGAGACGGGCAGCGGCACCGGGACGCCGGCGACGGGCGACGACGCGGAGGCGAAGCCGCGGACGAAAGACCACCTCTGGACAGGCGTGGTAACAACAAAAAGCGCAAAAAGTCAGGCCCTTGAAGCAATGAAGGCGCTGATCGCCCACCAGCCCATCCCCGTCACGCGGGCACGGATGCGCCTCAGGATAACTTGTTCCACGAACGTTCTGAAGCAGGCAGTGAAGGCAGCAGCGAAAGGTGGGGATGTGGAAGGAGGAGAGCAGAAAGCCCCTGGAACGGTCAAGGACAAGATCTTGAATTTCATCGAACAGGTAGATACCCAAGATGTTGTCGGGTCAGAGTGGGAGGTTGTAGGGTTCGTTGAGCCAGGTGCTTTCAAGGGCCTATCCGATTTTGTGGGCAACGAAACGAAAGGCCAAGGGCGAGTAGAGGTTCTCGACATGGCAGTCATGCATGAAGATTAAAAACATCCTTCCTAGAGAGCATGCGTATTATAGATTATGATATTAATGACAAAGCACGACGGTTTGGTGGCATTATATATACTGGCATAGGGATTTCAGTGGCATAGAGGGAAACATAGCACGGATTAGGCTTAAGAGAAACTACAATGACAAAATATCACTTATGCATCCGTGGGTATAATTGGACCATGTTCACTCAGAAGCAGTTTGGAGTGTTGGCCACTGATGTCTCGATTTATCTTCTCAGAGTACACCCATGACTTTGTCGTAACCGATGAGAAAAGCCCCCAAATTCGCGAAGCATATGAGTAATAACGTCAATGCAGTAATTTCAGTCCAGCCATCACGCCTTTCCATCCGCAATGAATGATCTGAACCAATGAAACCATGCCCTTTTCCACCGATTTGTTTAACCACCCTTCTTCTTGGAGACACCGACAGTCCGGCCACGACGACCGGTCGTCTTGGTGTGTTGACCGCGGACACGGAGACCCCAGTAGTGTCGGAGACCACGGTGGGCACGGATCTTCTTCAGGCGCTCAAGATCTTCACGGAGCTTGGAGTCGACACCGTTGGCCAAGACCTGGGAGCTCTTGCCATCGGTGATATCACGCTGTCTGTTGAGGAACCAGGCAGGGATCTTGTAGGCGGTAGGGTTCTGGAGAATGGTGACGATTCGCTCGAGTTCTTCCGAGGTAAGTTCACCGGCACTGTATTGGTATTGTATTAGTCTTCCACTCGTATCATATCGCTGGATATAATCTAAATCCATACCGTTTGTTTAGATCAACGTCGGCCTTCTTGCAGACCAAGTTGGAGTATCGTCGTCCAACACCCTTAATTCGGGTCATGGCGTACATAACCTTCTCCTTGCCATCGACGTTCGTGTTGAGGAGACGCAAGATCTGTTGTGGTTCTAGTTAGACAAGGCAGTTCCAAATACTGATATTGAATATCGATATGAAAGTTGAACTGAGGATCAACATAGTTTTTGATTGGGAAGCGGGATGGTGATGCGACAACAGCAAATTAAATAAGATGGATGAATATCAATGGGGATTTACTTACGAACTGGAAGTTCGTCTTCTCTCCTGAGACGAGCGACATGATGGGCAACTGTTTTGTGTTGGTGTTGCCTTGGTGTCGTTCAGAGTATCAGAATGTTGTATCGCGAGTTTGAGAGAAGTTGAAAGATTGAAGCAGTTGACTTTTCTGGTAGGCTCGCTTAATTAGGGTACGGTTGGAAAAAAATTACTAAATTATTAAAAGAGGGGCCATTGATTTGTGCACCCGGAAAATCCAACTGTGTGATCGGAAATTCCTAGCCTCCGAAGCTTACCTAAGGTAGGTTAGTAATAGTGCACGGACCATCTATACGATCCACCCTCAGAAATGAAAGAAATTTTGAATGCGCCAAACTTTTTGAAAGTTTCTTCTTGTAACATTCTTTTTTACACCTTTGAGTCGCAGACATGGAAACATGCAGCGATGAAAATGTCCCCTTGCCTATGTAACATGACTGTTCTATATGGCCGTTTTGCAGCCGGTCACTGACTGCAGGCCATGGAATGGTCGCAATGGATAATTCAACTCGTCTGCGAACTGTCTCCTAAGATATGAAGTCAACATTATCAAGACCAGTCAGGCCTTACTGAGGGTTCAGCGTGGTTAGGCTTATGTCCTGGATATCTTCACGGTAAGCACTGTTTCCCGTTAGTGTTGAGGAGTGCTTCTTCGACATGGATTCTTTTCAGCATTAGCACTCTCAACCACTACATACATAGGCGGAGAAACGGGTCGGATATCACATGCGGCCTATGAGGAACAATCTTACACAGTCTATGAGGATATTCTCCTATGAGTTATCACACACTGAAAATTCTGAGGCCTTCACACAATCTTTGATAGATACCAGAAGTACCAATATTATACCCGAATATTTATACACAAGTTGCAACCAAAATGCGTAGTGATTTTCACTTCCGCTGTCCAGTACGCCCTACTCCCATTGACTTATCTCGTCAAAATGTCGTTCGAATCCGAGCCCATCATATTACATTCGTTCTGTCGTCGTCCTCGTCAGCTTGCTTCGATTACTTAGATTTATGCGATTCCTGCCATTAAAATCCCCTAAATATTCATCCCATCTCAGCCCGATGATCCACGTTTGTTATCTCGGGGTGGCTTGTGGTGACTGAACCGATGATGTGTCTCTGTTGGACTAGAAGAAAGAGCTGTGTGATTGCGGTCTACACTGGCATTCCTCGAAGTGCTCGGGCTAATGCCACTCATGCTACTCCGACCACCGTGGCTCGACTTCCTCCTTCTCCCGAAATTCCACTCGAAAGCGCCCAAGATCTTCTGGTGCTCTAGGTTTTGCGGGGTAAATGGCTTGTTCAAATGGTAACACTCATCCCGCTGCTGCTCGGCTGTCTTTTTTGCCTTGGGTGATTTGAAGCCTCCGGTCAGACTTCGTAGCAGGCGGAACTGCGATTTGCTAGAATCTTGTGTTTCGAAGTCACTGGGTGTCGAGGCACCGTTCGTGCGGTTCCCGCTAGAGCTCGCGGTAGACTGCTTCCTACTCGTGGGAAACGTCCATCTCCCTAATGCCATTATGATACGTATAGAAATGGATCGGTCCTCTTAGAGTTTATGTTATGTTGTATTTGATGTATAGAAGCCTAGTTTCGTTGGAGCTATAATTAAGTATGTATAGGTAGGGCTAATGGGGGCCGACTTGACTCTAAGGTAAGAAGATATTAATCTGGGTATGTATAAGTAGGACTTCGGAATAGACTAAGGTTAGGTAAGTAAGTAAAGGTCCATGTGGATAAACGGAAGCTCGATAACATGAATATCACAGAAGCGGTTCTTGAATGGTTCGATGGTGGTGGCACCCACCATTTTATCACATCACAATTGGCTCTGTTTCTATACTACCTATGTATGCATTTGTCTACCTACCTTACCTAGTGTAACGATTAGTACTACTAAGGCATTGAAAGTAGGTACATGCTAATATGTAAGTAAGTAAGTTGAAATGGGTTCTCAATGTTCCCGCGGGGTCGCCGGTTGGCCAGGTTTTCGTCTTGCACATATTGTATGCGTGACCCCACGACGTCATCTCCACCTCCTCTCTGTACTAGGTAAAGGTAGGTAATACTACTAGCATGTATGTACTTGATCGAGAAGAAAAGCCAACCACAGTTTTACTCCTTGTCTCTGTTCTGTAGCCGCTAGAGCAAGTTAGCACTGTTCCGCTGATGATGGTGGGGGGGGTCTAGAATCTTGTTCTTGTGAGGCAGCAAGTCCATGCCTATAGATAATAGGTGCTCCTTTGTTATATAACCCCCCCAGCATTTACCCCAAGGTCTCTAGTGTAGTTGTCCTAGTAGGTAATAGTTAGTTGCAGCTCGTATACATGGCGAGTAGGTGATGTACATAATAATATCTACATACATGGCTATTGATGTACAGCCCTTGCCTACCTAGGGATGGGTGTAAATGTCTCGGTGGCTACCGTCGGTCGGTGGCAAACTTTGAGCGAACATCGCACCGTCTAGAATACACTACTATGTAACTACCTACACTACCTAGCACAAAGGTTGGTAAACGTAGTAGCTATAGCCGAGCGAGCCGATCTTTCTATGTGTAATATTGCTTCGGTAGTTTTAGTAGGTTATACACTACATAGTAATAGTGTATGCTATTGTAATTGTCATTTATCTTTGTTATGTGAGTTGCGGTTGATGAGGCATTAGCTATTATGTAGCAGTCCCTTCTCTCTCTCATGCTAATCTTTCTACCCATGTAATTCTATCTAAGGTAGGTAGGCACACGAGAATATCTAGGTACATGTTCTAGCTAAATACATTCTTCTTAATATTTTTTCTCAATTTTGTTTATTTTTAAATTCTTGATATTAGGTACTAGGCAATATGTAGGTAGATAGTAGGTAGTAGGTATCGTAGGAAAACAAAAAGATGCATGATATGGGTGTGATATGATATGCTCTAGAGTCTAAAATAAACAAGAGATCATGCCTAACCTACCCACCCACATACAACATACCTAGGTATCCAGTCATTTCAACCCCATCCGCTGTCATCTTTATCTTCGTCTTCGTCCTCTTCGTTGTAGTTGTAGTTGTTGTTGTTGTTATGGTCGTGGTTATCGTTTGTAAATAATGTCGACTTTCTTCCTAACGGACGACTCTCTCTCATCCCCACCGCATTAATGCTCATGCAAATATCGATCGATGCTCATTCATTAGGTATCCTTTTCGTGAAACCCTATATTGTGTGTGTGTGTTTGATTTTTGATGTTGTTTAATGTTTATTCGTTGTAGTCCAAACCCTCCTCTGTTCGTCCATTATAGCTTCTCCTTGACGGGGCCGGGATTGATAAGATCCCCGTTATCGTCCACCTCGACCACGCACAGAGTGAACGTGTCCTTGAGCGCGCCGAGGCGGTATTCGTGGTTGACCTTTTGGTAGTTTCTGCTGGAAGTCATGGCAGCGAAATGTTGGATGGAAGGGTAGTGCACGAAGGAGATCTCGTCCCACCCGTCCCCTTGGGCTTGTCCGCCCGTGACCCTCCCGACAAGCTTGACGCGTCCGCCGTGTCGGGCGCCGACCTCGGACGCGAACGCCTTGTGGTACTGCTTGTACTGGTCCTTCTTTCCCGGGCGGAAGGCGAGCAGGTTTAGCATGGAGATAGGGTGCTCGCGTAAGGGGCGGGGCAGCGAGGCGATCCAGCCGCTCAGCTCGAGGCTCACTTCGAGGTTTTGGGGCGGGCTCGACGACGAAAAAGACGACGAGGACGAGGACGACGGCATGGACGGCTCGTCGGCGTGGAGCTCCGGTGGGATCACCGTTCCGAGTGGTGGGTGCATGAGCTCCGTGTTGGTAGCTGCGTAGCCCGACAGCGATTTGTCCGAGACAACGCACATGGCGCTCCAGACGGCCTCGATGTCCGGATGGGTCTCCTGTGGGAAAGAGGTCTTGCCCTCGAGGATCAGAAGGAGGTCCCAGCTGATGTTCCTGCCTAAGAGATGCCCCGAAGACATCTGCGAAGGCAGGATCATCCACCGCACGACCCGCGCCTGAATGACGGGGTTAACGCCATTCCGTCGGAGCTTGCCGAGGAATGAACGGTGCGAGATGCCGTGCTTAAGGGAGACTATGTGTAAATTGCAGAGTACCATATTGTCTGACTGACTACCTTACTGTGTAGTAATGTAGTACCTATGTGTTGACTCTCTGGTACGGTAAAGATGTATAAGATGTATAGAAAGGTCCCCTCTCTTTCTCTTCAACGTGTTTCCTAATCTCGAACTGATCGACTCCAGATGTGATGGATATTTGAGGTGACGGTTCGTTGGGCATTTATGGCGGGTGAATAAAGTAGTTAGGTAGGTATAAAGTGTATATATGGTTATATGTAGGAGGTTAGAGAGTATATATTAGTATTAATGTAAGTTATAACCAGAGAAGAAGCAAAAATTGATGTTCTTTAGTTGATAGGATAGGCTACCTAAGGTAAGGTCGGTGAGGACTTTCAATGGTCAAGCTCCCAATCGGCCGAGGTTGGCCGAAAAGGGTAACCAGCTGTACCCCACTCCCCGTACTACATGTACGTACTGTTCTAACTTTTTGGTATTAACGCAATTACAGTGTACATATGTAGTATCTCCCCTGCTTCAATATTCCTAGGGTATATGTAGATCTACAGGGGTACTAGATGAATACATATCCATGATGGATCCATGTTGCAACTAAACTACAACTTGAACTTAAACCTAGGTCCTATTATTTAAGTACCTATAGTTATAATACTACATAATCAGTATGGGGTATCTAAATATATGTATTTCTCTCTCATTCATTCATCACTCACAACTCTCCTCACCCTTCCCTTCCCCTACACAGCCACATTAACCTCCTCCTGATCCTGCTTCTGCTTCTGCTTCACAATCGACACCTCCGGCGCCACCACCTCCTGGAACGAAGCAAAAGACCCCAGCTGGATGTTCAAAAACGCATTGTTATTAGACTGGTAAAACCCGCAGTCCTGGAGGAACGATCCCGTGCTCTCGACAAACAGATTGTCCTGGTTCGGCAGGATGATGGCCGCCGGGTCCGCGAACACGAGGTCGATGGCCGGCGCCTGGGCGCCGATCGGCAGGATCAGGCTCTCGTTGCTGTTGGCTTTGCCGTAGGGCGCGGCCGGGTCCGCGTCGACGATGGCGGCGGGGGCTCCGGTGGCCTGGGACACGACGGCGGTTGCGCCGGCGACGCCGGCGAGGTCTACGGTTTGCGAGGCCCCGATCGTCATTGTTTGCGCGTCGGAGACCATGACCATGACTTGGTTGTCGGGCTTGCCGTTGTCGACGAGGAGCTGGTTCACCATGTATCTGTTCCCCTTGTCCTGCCCCGCGCGGCTGTCGACTAGAGTCGAGACTGTGACGATCACGACGTTCTATGGGTAGGTAGGTGTAATGGTTAGTTCTATCTCCAAGTCTATCGTAGTTTGGTACGGTGATATCGACTTACCACTTGTGAGAAACGGGCCTTGAAATGGTTGACTCGGATGTTATTCTTAACCGCTTCCAGCTGGGTGATGAGAGCGACCTCTGCCTGCACGAGCTGAGCAAACTGTTGCTCGGCCAGTCTCTGCAGTGCATCTAGCTCTGCTTGGTTGTCTTGGACGATGATGATGTTGGTCTCTTGCACGATCTGCTGGATAGTAAGTGGAGCCCGCTTAGGCTTCCACTTCAACCCCCGTCTCGATGCCGGTGTGAGAGACCTGTCTGTGGGAACTAGGGGTGGGTTGTCAGTACCGGATAGCCTCCACATATGGAATCGAGGTTCAAGTACCTGAGGCAACGAGTGATGATAGACCCAGAAGGGCGGTACAAGCATACGTGAAATACATGATTGAACGGGTTGGCTTTCCAGAAGCAAGAATGAACGGATAAGAAAGCCTATCAAAGGACTGTAATAAACTGATAGTTAATTAAAGAATGGAACAAATAAGACTGCCACTAGGGCATCGCACAGCGAAGAGAAGAGAAGAGAAAAAAAGGAGGGAAATATGGATGATCTACCAGAAATACGATCATACAACTAATCATAAGGTGATCACTACCTGCACGAAGATCATTCTCTGCCTAGGTATATATACTCTACACCCGTTCTTCCCAGACGGCGATCCAACAACAAGCCATGGTATCTGTCGATGATGATTGCCATGATTGCCATGATTCTCATGATTCTCATGATCCCCTTCTTGCCCCTTCGGATGGTTGGCCATCCGGCAAATCCTCAAAGCGTCAAGGGTAGTCAAGTCACCCCCCCCCCCCCTTGTTTCCAAGTGCAGTTGGTCATAGTCTGATTCGCCTGGAGCCGGGAATGCGGCTCTGGCTTATCAAGGCGAAAGACAAGCTTCTGGTCCAGGCGTGGGTTGATGTCCTCCCGGGATCTCATCACCAAAAGAACCGAGAGCCTAGCCTAGGACACTAGGCACCTGCATGCATGTATGTACATAGCTATCCCATCGTTACCCCGTAACCATGCACAGCCTCATCCGAATCTCATGTATTAGCGATTCACTTCATGGAGGGTTTAGACGTTTGAAAGGGACTAGCGATGACAGGCACTTGAAGTGCATTTCCCGGCTTATATTCAGTCGGGGGCCAATCAGGAGATAGGATGGCTCCCCTGTCTAGCGCAGACATGCAAATGTCCCCGGCATGGCACAGGGCTGTTCGAGACCCAGGCGAAACATGACTCGTCTTGAAAAGAATCTTACATATCAAGGTGTGCCATCACTGCCATGTAACCCAAGCCGGTAAATGGGCATGTCGTGAATTGTTATAACTTACATATCATGCAACATTATCATTATAGACTACCTAAACTTCAATTATGGCAAGCCTATCTATCAGTCATCTATCATCCATCACCATCTTCTTTAACTCAGCACCCTCTTTCTTGATTTGAAAATGAACGTTTACGAAGTACAATAGGTATCTAATCACGACGTGAAAGGTTTCTAGATTAAAAGAATAGGTAAGACATTGGCTACCTAAATCTAAGGGTATCTCGGTACACCTAGTACACGGTGTCCATTGCAGACACATTTCGTAGTCATCGCACACTTGAACCCCCTTTTTGTTTGCTTGTAAAGCATCAGCGTCCGCGTGGGCGTTGGTATTTGACCTTCGGAAATTCAAGTGGTAAGGCCAAGAGTGCCATTTGTGCGTGTGTGCCCTGCTCTGTGCCTTTGACTGTCTTGACCTTGCCACCAATTTCGCGGAAGTACTGAGCGAATTGCTTCTCATCCAGGCCCAGATCAAATCGGATAAAGCTTGTATCAAAACTGTAGTTCGACAAGATGGCTGCAAGCGCACAGCAGTACGTATAGCCCAAGTCGATATGGAACTTTCGCATCTCTCCGTTCAAAGAGAATTTACGTCTGATATTCTCAATAACCGGCTCTGGAGCTGGTTTCAACTCTTCTCTTAGCTTGTCTCGCGGTAGCACTCGTTTTGTGCCTCTCTCCTTTCCTGGCTTGGCAGTTTTGAGGAACTTAAAGAGGAGCTCTAGATATCGGAGAGCTCGTAGTCTTTGCGTTGGGTTTGGCCCTTCAGCAATGGCTACCAATCGGTTGGAGATGAAGGCAGTCTTTGTCTGCTTGTTCGTTTTCTGTTTGATCTGCTCTTGCCAGTCTCTGATTGGGATGGCATTCAACACATCACTTCCAATAAGGCCTTCCAACGTGTACACATCCTGGATCTCCTCGGCGTCGAAATTGCCAGGGGGCACTGGTTTTGCTGCATCGGCTACTGCCTGGAGATCCTCTTTAGAAGCCATTCCTGCCGTGACCTCGTTTATGGACTCCATGAGCGCCATTGAAGAGGAGCTGAGCTTCGATGGGTTGCCGCCAGCATCAGTGATCGCCTTTTCGGGAGCAATGGCATTTTCGGTGATTGCGGCGAGAGCTTTCTTAGCCTTCTTGGTTCCGAATGCTTCGCCGAGGTTGGTTCGGAGTTCATACATTGTCTATAAGATAGTTAGATATCTCTTGAAACAAAGCCAGAAAGAATATTTATTTACCTTGGAAGCTTGTTTCTCTGCATCATCTTCTTCGGGAGCTGTTTGTGCCCGAACCACACCTCGGACTGCCATCTTCTTAGCTTCCATCACCGCTAACTGTCCTGTCTTCGGATCGAAGACTCCGACATAATGCTTTAGGTGAGATTCTCGCCCGCCCGGGCCCTCCTCTTTGGCTGTATAGTCTAATTTACTGTGTGAAGTTGAGTGCAAGAGGAGATTGGGTGTATGGGAATCGGCTTTCTTGCTGCGCCTAGATCCCGTAGACTGCGAATTGGTATATGCTTGGAATTTGACTGAATTGGGAATGCAAAGGCCTGATGAGGTTGCTATGAAGGGTTAAGGTCAGCATAAATGAGATGTAGATAATCCAAAATGTGTCATACCTATCACTGGAGGACAACTCTTTGCTGTGTGGACTGAAGAAACCTTTACAGTGCTGGGCTGTGGGCGTTGCGTGCGTTGTTGTGTCGGTTGGGGAGTTTGTATGGCTACCTTCTTATTTGGCCTTGGACCAGCATCCTCGACTCTCTTTCTTTTCTTTTCCTTGTGTTCCGCCATGGTGATATCTCAATAATTGTGAAAAATCAAAAGATGAATGAGCGAGACTTTAGCGATGTTGTACTTGTCGGAAGTAATTTTTGGAGAGATAGAAATTAGTTGTAGGGTGATTGACGAGTTTGCGAAGAAAAAAAAAGCTGAGATGAATTCTGCCACTACCGTAATTGAGTTTAGTAAGGGAATTAGGTAGGCGGTGAAGAAGCATGCATGTATTGTAACCTTATGTAAGTAAGTACAAATTACATACTGTACCTATCCAACATTGAACATTGAAGTTCGTCATGTATGTAGCCGCAAACGGATCGGTTGAGATTTGGAAATTGTTAAAGTTAAAACATTCCATATATAACTACCTCCATAGTATTTAATACAATCACTATCAACACTCACGATATCTTACATAGTACTGTAAATATGAAGATTCATGGAATGTAATCTCGACATATCATTGGACATCAATGCAATTTGTGGATCTTTTGCTTATGTACTGCGTAGTACCTAGTAGATAACTACGTACTAGGGTAACTGTGTACATACCGTAGCATAGGCCATGGCTCGATGCAAAAAGCCGGACCTTTCCAAGTCATCAAATTCTAAGGGTCAAGAAGAGGGGCAAGCTCTCGAGACCAATACGACGTCATCGACAATTATTTGCATGAAGACAGTATTAAAGCTTCGCGCAATCTTACTGTAAGCACATGCACTTGAGGGGAACATCATTATATGGGACCAGATCTCGTAAATCGATTGACTAGCAAGTTGATCTTATTTCTTGAGCAATGATCATGAACGTATGCAGATATTCTGCTTCTTATTCCGCGATGCATAACACATAA